TCTACATTGGCCACAGACGCTTTTCCGGAAAAAGGGCTTTTCTGGAAAAGCAGCCTGCCAATGTAGATGCTCCTTTTCCAGAAAAACTGAAAACGGAATAGTATTCCGTTTTAAGCATTTCCGGAAATTCATGCCAGTGTAGACACAGCCCCCAGGACTTTATTCTGAAATAAACCTCCCTTAGGTCGAATTAATAAGTGGAGCGTCCACACTACGAAGCCCATTATTTCAAAATAACGGGCCACTTAATTCGAAATCTGTACTCCTGCTTTCCTCGGGGAATAACGCTAATTTTGAAATAGTTATTTCGAAATAACAGTAGCACGGATGCTCTGGTGCCGCTATTTTGAAATAATCAGCCCCCAGCGTAATTTGAATTAATTACTCCCCAATGCTTCCTGCAGCTCTAAGTCGAGGTAGCGTGTCCACATTAACAGAGCCTCCCTCGGACTAATTTTGAGGCTCTCCCGTAGTGAGGACAAGGAAGGAAGGAAATGGCATTTCTGAGAAAATATCAAGTACTTAGACAAATACTTTCCATGAAAAAAATTTCCATCCAAAAAAATTTTTTCCCACCATTTCTACTCAAAATGCTTTTTTTTTACATTGAAAACTTATTTTTTTCATCCAAAGAGGCATTTCTAGGGGAAACTTGCCTAAAATATTTACGTGTTTGTAATTTTTTTCAACAAAAACCCAAACACATAAGAAAACAATTGATGAAAAGTAAAACACTTCTGCTTTCATGAAACTTTTTCACAGGACAAAATTCCTCCATATTTCCAAATAACCAAACTAACCAGGGTTGAAACTGGTCACTACTTGGCAGAAGCATCTAAAAAAAAATCTGGTTGACCAGGGAGTGGGTACTGGAGATTTTATGGGGTGATGTTTTTCCCTCTGAGTTAATATTGAGATAATGACCCAGGAAGGTGTTTCCGGATCCATCTACACTGCACCGTTATTTCGAGATAACTAGCGTTATTTTGAAACAACAATGCGAGCGTCTACACAGCCTTTCCGTTATTTCAAAATAATTTCAAAATAACAGATGGCTTATTCTGAAATCTATAAACCTCATTCTACGAGGAACGAAGTCTATTCCAAAATAGCTATTTTGAAATAGGGCGTGTGTAGACGCTCCACTGCTGATATTTCGAAATAACCCCCCACCAGGGCCATTTTAAGTTATTCCTCCCCACTGCCTCCTGAGGCTCTAAGTGGAGGTAGCCCATCTACATTAGAGAAGGCTGCCTCAGACTCATTTTGAGGTTTCCCTGCAGTGTAGGGGTATGTCTAGACTACATGGCTCTGTCGACGGAGCCATGTAAACTAGTTTACCCGACATAGTCAATGAAGCAGGGATTTAAATAATCCCCGCTTCATTAAAATAAAAATGGCCGCCATGCTGTGCCGATGATCGGCTGATCCGGCACAGACACGGATGGGTGGACAAGGGATGCCTTTGTCGACTGCTCCTTTATGGCTCATGAAACGAGGTTTACAGGAGTGGTCAACAAAGGCTTCCCTTGTCGACCGATCCATTTCTAGACTGCGGCGCTGTGCCGGATCAGCTGATTGTCGGCACAGAGCGGCGGCCATTTTTATTTTAATGAAGCCATTGACTATGTCGGGTAAACTAGTTTACGTGGCTCTGTCAATGGAGCCATGTTGTCTAGACGTACCCTAGATGTGCTATTTCAAAATAAGCTATTTCGGAATAACTATTCTGGAATTGCGTATTTCGAAATAAGCGTGGAGTGTAGACGTACCTAGGTGCACAAGACAGACAAAATAGGGGAAGACGTGAGGTATTTCGATTCCCCATTTACAGATGGAAAACTGAAGGAAGTGCTGTCTTTTGAATCAGCCTTTCGAATGACCGTCACGGCCAGCTGTGTTCTTAATGATTCCTCTGCACTTGAGTTGGAGTCTTCAGTCTAGTACCCTGTCTGAATTTCAGGTGTGACAACGGTGTTCTCTTTCCCACCTGTAGCTTCAGTTTGCTGCAGCGTTCTCAGTTCCTGCCCTGTTGCTGTGTGCTGTTAAGCGATGCCGCATTTTTTTCCGGAGGTGGCTGCATTTCAATGTATGTGCGGAAGGTGTCTCAGAGAACCACTGTTCAGGCTGAGTCCTGGTTAAATTAGCTCAGGTGCTCCATTGTATGTTCACATACCTATCGGCTTCGTGTCACCACTGAAATGTGGCTTCTGTTTAACAATACGCAGCCGCACTGGACAGCCACCAGGAATGGTGACCTTCGTGGGTGGATTCGGGAGAGAGTTCAGTCCCTGGCTCTGCCACAGACTTTCCATGCAACCTCAGGTGAGTCACTTAATCCGCCCGTGCCTCAGTTTCCCATCTGTAAACAGGGTATAAGAATACTTCCCTTCTCTCCCTTTGTCTTGTGCACTTTGGGCCTGGTCCCCAAAGACCTATGCATGTGCTTAACTTTATGCTCCGTGACTAGTCCCAGAGAAGTCTCCTTTGCAGTATCAGGGATTTAGACTGTAAACTCTGGAGGGAACAGTCTCTTACAATATGTCTAAGTGCCCAGATGCCAACACATGAGGCCCCGATCTCAGCATGGGCCTCCCGGCTCTGCTGAAATATGTATAAATAATGGGGCGGATGAGTCAGTAAGTGGTTTTGTGGCGTGCTCTGGGATCCTTCTGGAGTGGAAACGTCCCTCGTTGGGATTATTCTGGAGGGGAAATTGCTGAAGGAGGCTGTCTCGCCTTCATCCGCTCTGGGCAGGAAAGACAATCCCATTGAGAAGGGCCGCTGTGGACTCGTTGCCTGCTCGGGCCTTGCTCTCTCCGGTGTCCTCTT